GGAAAGCTGCTGTTTGACCCCGGGGGACAGGCTGTGTGTCCCCTGTCGTGGGTCAGGGCCGACCAGACCCGGTCTCTTCTTGTGCGAGCGTCTGTGCCTAGGCCTGTGCGGGTGGCCGTCTGGAGCCACCGCCCACGCGGGGAGACGCTGGCCACTGGCGCCGGGGCGCCCTCCTGTCTTAGGTGTCCCTGCAGTAGCAGAGGGCAGTCTGTCCCTGGCGCTTTCCCGGGAGGGTGGCCTTGAGGTTTCCCCTAGGGAGCAGGCCCGGGAGGATGTCTCCCCGATGGAAGCGGGAGACTGCCGACGGTCCTGGGCACCCACGGGGCGTTCTCCGCGGCGGGAGGATTTGTGCCCCTTCCTGTGGCCCCTAATTGCTTCGGCCTGGGGTTGGCCCTGGCAGCCTGGAGCGAGCAGAGGCCTGCCCTGAGCAGCGTCAGCCTGGCCTCTTCCGGCTTGCTGCCCGGGCTCCGGGCCCTGGGTCATCGGGAGAGGTCCGGTGCGCCCTGAGGGAGGGGCGCGATGGGGGCCAGAATCAGCTGGGGCAATTCTGGGGCGCTTTCTCTCGGCTCCGTCCTGGCGAGTGGGGGAGCTTCGCTGAGATCTCCGGAGCCCCGCAGGTGTTGTGTGTGCTGTACGCCTGTGCTCCGGGCTGGGAGATCGACGCCTGGGGGACATCACGTTTTCGGGGACGCCCCAGACCTTTTCTTGGTCCTGAAGAGCCTCCCCGAAGTGCTTTCGGGAAGAGCTCTCCTCATGGTCCTGTGGGTCAGGCCGGGGCCTGGTGTTTGGGTCCACGGGAAGCAGCTTCTTCCACCGGGCCGCTAAGTCTCTGGCAAAGTGGCCCACGTCCTGGTGCTTCCGCAGGCTCTTTACGGTCTTTCGGATTCCAGTCTCCGCCAGGATGTCTGCAGTCATGGGCAAGGCGGAGAGTTTCTGCAGATATTTCCCGACTTTCTTCGGGTCCGTCTTAGTGGCCAGACGCACCTGCAGCTTCTCCACTGCGTGCAGCGTAGTCGAGCCTTCCTCCATCTCACCAGATCTGTGCAGGCGTCGCTGTCCCTGCGGCTGCCGGCGGCAGCTCTGTCCTGGGGCGGCGGGATGTGAAGTCTGGGTGCCCCGGTCCTCCCTGGCCGCCGGGTCGTCAGGCAGGCCTCGGGATGCGGAGTCGCAGCCTGGAGCAAGCTCGTCCCTCGGAGCAGCGGGCCACTGGTTCTGGGTCGCTGGTCCTCGCAGACCGCAGGCCTCGGGGTGTGGAGTCACAGCAACCCGGAGCCGGCTCAGTCCTACGTGCGGCGTGGGGCGTCCCGGGGGTGGGGGGTGGGGGGGGGGGGGGAGGGTTTGCGCGGTTGGGAAAGGAGGGGATAGCGGGGCGCGAGGGGTACACCTGTTCTGCAATGCCGGTCTGGTCCTTGCAGACAGCTGAGCAGGTCCGCTTCTGGTCCTCGGGATGTGGAGCCACAGCCTGGAGCGACCTCTGCGGTGCTCGCGGCTGCCAGAGCTCGGCCTTATATATCCAGCCCCAGGCCCGCCCACGGCTCAAGCCCTGACCCCTTTGGCTCCTGGGCTGCCCGGCCCCAGTAGGAATTCATTCCGTCAGTACAATGCAGCCAATCGGGAAGGTCCACGCCAGGTGGACTGCTGTGCCCCAGAGGTGGGAGGAACCTCAACACACCCTTCTTGACTTCCATCATTGGCCCTCCGTGTTGGCAGGTTCCACAGCTGTGGATTCCATAAAACACAGACTGAAACTTCTTGAGAAGAAAGCAGAAAATAACCACACAGCAAGACAGAAATCAGAGAAAGAATAACGAACACAGGATACCAACTCCTGACCTAGAGTAGACGTTGTGCGAGGGGAGTTCCCAACATTCCAAGGAAAGTGGGATTAAAAGAGAAAAATAGAAAAGGTAGATTTTACTCCTCAACGTCGGCTCCATGGAGTTCCAGACGCTCTTGGAAGCCACGTCTTTGCCCTGCCCTCTCGTCCATCTCTAACGTCCCGAGGGTCCTGGAAACGTAGCTATCTCCGTGACATCTCTTTTCCCTTATGAACGGAAGAAACATGGCTGGTGCCCTTTACAGAATTTCTAAGACTGGGAAACAAAAATAAGTCAGCAGGCGCCAAATCAGAACTGTAAAGTGGACGCTCATGATTTCCCATGAAAACTCTTGCCATACTGCCCTTATTTGAGGAAAGGCATGAACGGGAACGTTGGTGCGAGGAGTGGAGAAGAACGCTGTGGTGAGGAATGTTTTTCCGCTCAAGTTTTGGCCAACTTTCTCACAACGCTTCCCTTACTAGGAAGGAGAGCTGATGGGATCATGGCTTGGCATTCCAGAAATTCAATGAGCAGAATCCCTCTAACATCCCATCCCCCAAAACGGTCGCCATGACCTCGGCTCTTGACAGGTGCCTTGTGGCTTTGACTGCAGCGCTGCCACCTCTTTTTGTTTTAATTGCATTTTAGGTTTTGGGGTACATGTGCAGAACATTCAAGATAGTTGCATAGGTATACACATGGCAATGTGTTTTGCTGCCTTCCTCCCCTTCACCCACAGTTGGCATTTCTCCCCAGGCTATCCCTCCCCAGCTCCCCCCACACTGTCCCTCCCCTATTCCCCCCAATAGACCCCAGTGTGTAGTACTTCCTTCCCTGTGTCCATGTGTTCTCATTTTTCATCACCCGCCTATGAGTGAGAATATGCAGTATTTCATTTTCTGTTTGCAGTTTACCCATCTGACAAAGGACTGCCACCTCTTGGTAGCCGCAGCTTCGTGCTTTGTCTTCAGGATCCCAGCACAAGCACCATGTTTCATCTCCCGTGACAAATCTTGAAAGAAATGCTTCCAGAACTTGCTCCCACCCGTTTAAAATCTCCACGGAAAGGTTTGCTCTGGCCTGCAGCTGACGTTGCTGCAACAACAGTCCCGGCAGCCGAGTTCCACTCTCATCTTTCAGTCAGAATGAGGACAGCAGAACCATTGGAAGTGTCTACTTTGCCAGCTATTGTTTCTCCTCTCCATGGCGGTTTCGCCTCATTTTCAAATGCTCGTGTGACTTTTCGTCTCTTTCTGTGTGTGTGTGTGCACGCGTGTGTGCGCGCACGCACTCACACCCTCGCCTGTGTGCACCTGTGTGTGTGTGTGTGTGTGCGCGTCTCTGTGTGTGTGCTCACGCCCACTCCTGTCTGCTTCTGTGTGTGCGCGTGTGTGTGCGTCTCTGTGTGTGTGTGCGTCTGTGCGTGTTCGTGTGTCTGTGCATGTGTGTGCAATTCTGAAGAAATAAAATCCTAATAGCCTAAGAATCAGGGGACGAGGATTCGGGTGGTAAGCCTTTTCTAAGAATTAGCCCTCCACTATATGTAGAAAAACCAGGTAAATTTGCTCTGTTTCCCGACATCCAGGTACCTCAACAAGAGGATCCTAGTGCAACGTGGGCAGTGCTTGTGGAGCATTCCGAATGAGGATTCTTTTGTAGATAGGTCAGCAGAGGATTGAACTGTTTTTGGTCAGTGTGTTAATGTGACAGTAGGATCCTGAGGTGGCTGCTGAATTCTGTTTGGGTTAGGTTTATACTTTGTGTGAGGTTTGTTATCTTATTCTTTCTTTGAGAGGGCGTGTCGTGTTGGGAGCGGTGACCCGCTAAAGCTTGTCAGGTTCTGCAGTCATGAATGAGTTTAGTGGGGGCAGATGCCATTGTCAGTAGTGTGACAGTGGGGGCATAGGTGAGCTGTGAGGGGCTTGAGCTAGCTCTTTGTGTTTTGAGTTGTGTTTGCTTGTTTCCTGTTTGTTTTCCATTTTTGGAGGGGAAACATTTTCCACAAAGGAAGGCTGTTGCCAGCGGATTTGAGTCCAGGGGACTGGAATGTGTCGGTGGGAGCGGGGAGAAGCTGCAGGGTGATCAGTGGCTACTACACCTCCAGGAAGAACGTGTGGCTCTTCTGCCATGAGGAGGAGAGTTGGCTCTCTTGTCGGTTTTGCAGGCCACCACAGACCCTCTCTTGCATTGCCGTGAAGAAATGGAGACTGGCCTTGCGTGTGTCCCTTGCTGGGCGGGCGCGGGGGAGGGGCATGGAGTCTCCCCGGAATTGTATACAGTCTCTGATTGCATCACATCTTTTTTTCCCCGGAACCAATGCTGCCTTGTCTTCGTCACGGAGCAGTACCCCTGTGGCTGCCTGTCCTGGCTTCCTTCGTGTTCTTTAACCTTGAAGGTTCCTTCCCTCTTGCACTGGCATCCACTCAGGTGCCTGATTCCAGAAGCTTCCCACCACCCATTCTGCTGCCCGCCCCCCACCCCCAGGGCACAGGACTTTAATCTCTTTTACTGCCCTTGCTTGGTTCTGCTTTGTGGGACAGGCCTTTGTGTCTGTCTCTCAGCTTCTCACTAAGTGTAGGCAGGGGAAAATCTAATCAAGTAAACGAGATTTCCTTAAGGGTGAGTGTGTGGGGGAGGGTGGGGAGGTATCTGGCACACGGACCTGTGATTACCCATCTGTGTGTTGCCACCACATGCCCTCGGTTAGAAACTAAAGGTTCAACAAAGCTGGCAGAAGCTCATGTGATCTGAACTGAAGGATGTTAACCTGGTCACCTCATGGTAATTAGAAACTTCGATTAGCGAGCAGGGCGCGGTGGCACACACCTGTACTCCCAGCACTTTGGGAGGCGGGGGGCTGGTGTGGATCACGAGGTTAAGAGATCGAGACCATCCTGGTCAACATGGTGAAACCCTGTCTCTACTAAAAATACAAAAATTAGCTGAGCATGGTGGTGGGTGCCTGTTGTCCCAGCTACTCAGGAAGCTGAGGGAGGAGAATTGCCTCAACCCAGGAGGCGGAGGTTACAGTGAGCCGAGATCGCGCCATTGCACTCCAGCCTGGGTAACAAGAGCGAAACTCCGTCTCAAAAAAGAAAGAAAGAAACTCTGATTGGCGACTTTAGACTTCTTGATTCAGAAGCTCATTAGATAAAGTGATAAAGTTTCTGCCATTCTTTCATAGGGGTTCTGGGTGAAAAGATTGGAAACGATTCTCTTTGGTGCTTAGGGAAAGCAGTCTGATTTAACAAAGTTACCGGTTATTGCCACTGTTTCATAAAATCCCACAGTTCCTTTTTTTATTGTTATTTTATTTCTTTTAAAGATGGGGTTTCACCATGATGGCCAGGCTGGTCTTGAACTACAGACCTCAGGTGATCCACCCACCTCGGCCTCCCAAAGTGCTAGGATTACAGGTATGAGCCACCGCGCCCGGCCCACAGTTACATTTTTCAACGAAACAGCAGTTTTCTCTGACACATGCTCTGTTTCTGTCACCCAGGCTGGAGTGCAATGGAATGATCAAGGGTCACTGCAACCTCTGCCTCCCAGGCTCAGGCCATCCTGCCACCTCAGCCCTCCAAGAAACTGGGGCCTCAGGGGCTGTGCCACCACGCCTGGCTAATTTAGATACCTTTTCTATAGATGGGGTTTCACCCAGGCTCGTCTCCACCTCCTGGGCTCAAGCCATCCACACTTCTCAGCCTCCCATAGGAGGATGGCTCACAATTACAGGTTGACGTCCAGGTTTTGCTTAAAAACAAAACAACAAAAAACCATTTATGTAGTGGGATTTGTCAGTGTTAACTAATGGCTTGTGAGTTTGTGTCTAAAAAGTAATTATCTAGTTGATGATTTAAAGACCAAAAAATAGGGACTCCCATCTGGTACCTCTTTGATGATTTTAACTAGGGCATGATTTAGAAAGTGATCAGTTAACCACCAAAGGGGAATCGATCTGAAAGCATTCACATCTTCTGAATTCTGAGGGGTCCTCCCAGCAGGGAGGTATGGGAGGCCAAATCCCAGGGCCAGCACTGGACACCTGCAGAATTCAGAAGCTCAACTTTGCACCAAGCCAAAGGTTCTGGTGTCAGTTGGAAGTTGCATTCCTTAACCCGCATCGACTTGCATTGGTCCTCCTCCCCTTAGATTCCATCTGTAAGACGAGTCTTGAGTTTATCGTCGGGAGAATCTTCTCTTGTAGTCTCGAATGGCCTTGGCCATCAGCGGGGCCACTTTCTTTGCAGCCTGTTTCCGGATTTTGGCCTCAGGTGTCGCCTGCGCATTGCTGCAGCTCAGGCAGGCATAGGCACGCTTCTCAGGGAGCCTGGGAAGGCCGCTGTCGGCGCTGCCGCCCCCATTGGAGGGAGGGTGGCTGCTTTTCGTGGGCTGGTAGTGTGGGTTGATGTTGCTATTTTCGAGATCAGCGGCTCCTACAGCCTTCTCTTGCCACCTCGGAGCATCATAAGGCGTCTCGGCCACCGAGTTGAAACAGATCATCTTCGTCTGTCGGCCGTTGGGCTTGTTTTCACGTGTAGCCCGGATACTGGTCGTCACTACGCGCAGCCGCTGCTCTCGGGCGTGCCAAAGCCGCAGGTACAGCTCCCGCCAAGACTCGTGCTCTTGCGGCTTTTCTCCCTTGAAGTCCTGGAGGCAGTGAATCCTCCACAATCCATCTGTCTCTCCAATGAGTGCGGGATTGTTTTTCTCTCTGCGATATAGCTGGTCAGGCGTACACCCTTCCAGGACAAGTTCAAGAACCCAAGAGGGGACACATCCTACTTGGCCCAGGGCGTCGGGGTTGTCTCTAAGCGCCGGGACGCACTGCTGGCGCAAGGTCAGCCACTGGGGCTGGCGGGCAGGCCTGGAGCCCGAGTACACCTGCATCTTGGCATTCACTCTGCGTCCCGAGGAACCAGCTTCCTCCTGGAACGTCGGTGCAGAGAGTGCCATTTCTGTGGCTGGGCGGTCTTGGACTCAAAGGCGGAGAGCAGATCGTAGTTGGCCTGCATCCAGGGCTCTGCGAGGTCCCACAGCTCTGAGAAGCCGAGGCTGAGCACGGTTTTCCGCCCGGAGGAATCAGCACGGGCCGCCTGTAGCCCCTCGGAGTGGCTTTCCTTGACAGGAGGCAATTCCTGAGGCGAAGCCCAGGACTCACGAGTGTCCTTGGAATGGTTTGCTCTGCGTTGTTGATCTCCACGTGCGGTGCTGGAAGATTTCACAGTCCTTCTCTCTTTCTTTTGCAACTGGTCGTAGGTGAGGTATTGTTCAAATGACAGAGCGGGCCGCTCAGATTCCTCAGCCCCCTCTCCCTCGTCCACCTCGGAGAGGGAGCCCACGGATATTGCGTCCAAATGAGCAGTCGGTGGCTTCCCCTCTTGAGTCTCTGGGTCGCTGGAAAGCTGCTGTTTGACCCCGGGGGACAGGCCGTGTGTCCCCTGTCGTGGGTCCGGGTCGTCCAGACCTGCCTCTCCTTGTGTGAGTGTCTGTGCCTAGGCCTATCCAGGTGGCCGTCTGGAGCCACGGCCCAGGCGGGGAGACGTTGGCCACTGTCGCCGGGGATCCCTCCTTCCTTATGTGTCCCGGCGCTAGCAGAGTGGTCTGTCCCTGGCCCTTTCCCGGGAGGGTGGCCTTGGGGTTTCCCCTCTGGCGCAGGCTTGGGAGGATGTCTCCCTGATGGAAGCGGGAGACTGCTGATGGCCCTGGGCACCCACGGGGCGTTCTCCTTGGCGGGAGGATTTATGCCCCCTTGCTGTGGCCCCTAACTGTTTCGATCTGGGGTTGGACCTGGCAGCCTCTAGGGAGCAGAGGCCTGCCCTGAGCAGTGTCAGCCTGGCCTCTTCCGGCTTGCTGCCCGGGCTCCGGGCCCTGGGTCATCGGGAGAGGTCCGGTGCGCCCTGAGGGAAGGGCCGGTTTGGGGCGGAAATCAGCTGGGGCAATTCTGGGGCGATTTCTCTTGGCTCGGTCTGGGCTACTGAGGGAGCTTCCCTGAGATCTCCGGAGCCCCGTAGGTGTTGTGTGTGCTGTATGTCTGTGCCCCAGGCTGTGAGGTCGTCGCCTGGGGGCCATCCCGTTTTCGGGGAAGCCCCAGGCCTTTTCTTGGTCCTGAAGACCCTCCCCGAAGCGCTTTCGGGAAGAGCTCTCCTCACGGTCCTGTGGGTCCGGCCTGGGCCTGGTGTTTGGGTCCACAGGAAGCAGCTTCTTTACCGGGCTGCTAAGTCTCTGGCAAAGTCCCACGTGCTGGTGCTTCCGCAGGCTCTTTACCGTCTTTCGGATTCCTGTCTCCGCCAGGATGTCTGCAGTCATGGGCAAGGCGGAGAGTTTCTGCAGGTATTTTCCTACTTTCTTCGGGTCCGTCTTAGTGGCCAGACGCACCTGCAGCTTCTCCACTGCGTGCAGCGTAGTCGAGCCTACCTCCATCTCACTAGATCTCTGCAGGTGTCGATGTCTCGGCTGCCATGGCTCTGTCCTCGACACAGGGGGATGCAGTGTCTCGGTCGCCGGTCCTCCCTCGCTGCCCGGATTGACCTCCCAGGTGCCCTTGCCTACAGGGATTCAAGCGCATTTGCAAGAGAGCGTTCTGATAGAGCCAGCCCCAGGCCTGCGCATGTCTGAAGCCCCGACTTCCTTAGTTCCTGGGCTGCCGTGCCCCCATTGGAATTCATTCTTCAGCACAATGCAGCCATTCTGGAGGCCACTGTTCAGGTGGACTGCTGTGCCCCAGATGTTGGTTAGGTTAGTTTCACTCTCAGCTATCCCCAACGAGTTCGACCATTGTGCCTCCATGTTCGCAGGTTGCACATCTGTGGATTTCAAAAAACAGAAACTGAATCTTCTTGGGAGTAAAACAGAAAAACACAAGAAAGCAGAGAAAATTATAGAAAGAAGAACCAGTAAAGGATAACAACTATTTACATAGGATTGATGTTGTGGGAGGGTACTTTCAAGGCGTTGTAGAAAATGGGATTAAATGTTTAAAATAAGAACGGTAGATTATACTTCTCAACCTCTGCTCCATCAAGGTCCAGATGCTTCTGGAAGCAATATTTTTTTCCTGCCCTCTAGTCCATCGTTAAAGCCCTGAGGGTCCTGCAAATGTATCTATTTCCATGAAATGTCTTTTTTAATATTAAGTGAAGTGAACTTTGTTCCATTTACACATTTTTTAAGATTGGGAAAGAAAATGAAGTCACCAGGTGCCACATTGTGAGTTTACAGTGGATGCCTTCGGATTTTCTATGGAAACTCTCGCCAGACTGCCCTTTTTTGATGAAATGCATGAGGACGCACTTTGTCATGGTGAGGAAGAACTCTCTGGTAATGATTTTTCTGCTTAAGCTTTGTCTAACTTTTTCAAAAAAACCTCTCCTAATAAGTACATTTAATTATAGTTTGGCCATTCAAAAAGTCATTGAGTCATATCTCCTGAGCATTTCCCGAATCTGTTGCCATTATCTCTTCTCTTGACTAGTCCGCTCTGGCTTTCACTGGAGTGCTGCCATTTTTTGGTATCCTTTGCTTCATGCTCTGTCTTCAGGATGGTACCAGTATAGCCATATTTCATCTCCTGTTACAAATCTTGGAATAAGTACTTCAGGAACTTCCTCCCACCTGTTTTAAATCTTGAAGGAAATTTTTACTGTCATCTGTAGCTGTTGTTGCTGAAACAGCTTTGATATCTGAATTTAACTTCAATTTTTTTGGTCAAAATTATAAAAACAGGATTATTTGAAGTGTCTATGATTTTTTCTCTTCTGCTGTTACTTATTTGTCCTCTCAAATTAGAAAATACTTGGTCCTATGTTTCTGAGCATAGTTGACCAATTCTGACATTGTTTTAAATTTAACAAATGTCTTTTCTGGATCAGTAGACACTCCTTTTGATAGTTCTAGCATTTTGTTTGATTGTTCAGCATTTGAAATTTAGCAAGTTTCCTGGTAGAGCCAGGAGATAATCAGGAAACAAACAAAAAACAAATTAGAACCTACAGGTATATATATATATATTCAAGGTTTTAAGTGAATATTAGATGCAAGGACTGTAAAATAGAAGTATAATAAAAACATTTGAAAGAAGAGATGTGTCCTTTTTAACTGTTTGTTTTTGAGATGGAAAGCTTAATACAAAATTTGGATCTTATTATTGAAATTGAAACGAGCTCATGCAAATTAATCTCCATTGCACCCGTAAAAAGGAAATTAAAAGCACTAATGTTGAATGTGGTGTATACAGTAACATTTCCTGGGTATCTTCTGGGTCTAAAACTGGGAATGATATTCAATGCTTCCTTTTCCTGGGGCTATGGTATCGTAGGATTCAATTTTGAATCTGATAATGGAGGTATATTTGTGGTACAATAGCCCACAAAGGAAATGAAGGAAGAAGAAAACAGCCAGAATATTGAAATGGGCAAATGAAACACCTAGATTAGATTTTCACTTTTGGGCCTCCTTTCTTTGTACACAGAAATTAACTGAGCATGTATTTGTGTCCATTTCAGGGGCACACCATCTCTTACAGTTTAAACTGACCTTCTTTGTGGGGTTGGCTCATTCTTAGTTTTTTTTTTTTTTTTTTTAATTCAGAGGATAATTTTCTATGTTAATTTGAATGGCCTGGGCAGAAAGACATAGATCTTACCAATTTTATACCTTTAATTAAGAAATTTGTAAGACTGCATTCTGTGTTTTCAGTAACAGAAGTTCATCTTAAATGTTTAACACTACATTTTAAATAGTGCTTTTAAAAATTTCTTTCTCTATTTTACTCTTACTGAATTCGGAATTTTTGCCAATCTTGCCTCAAAATAAAAATCACATTGTTATTTTTAAGACCTGGTCACCACAAGTAAAAGCTGCTTCACAGTCCACATATTAGGAAAGCCATTTTTTTTTTTTTAAATTAGAGATGGAGGTCTCCCTGTGTTGCCCAGGCTACTCTCAAACTCTGGGCTTAAGTGATCCTCTTGTCCTGGCCTCCCAAAGTGCTGGGATTGCAGGACTGAGAGTTCTAAAGGACTCAGTCAATTCCCATTACAGAGATCGACTCTTTTCCAAACTGTGATTCTAATTTAAAAAATAAGTGGAAATACTTTTGATTGGAGTTGGAGCAGCTACCATTTTGCAGAAATTGAGTAAAAACCCTGAGCAAGCCTCTCTGATAGGCTGTTCTTTCAAAACTATGATTAACATTGCTCTGATTTGTTTAGGATTAAGAATTAGAGCTCTGTCTCAAGAATTAGAGATTTTGTTTTCATATTCATCCCGATCAACTGTGTTAAGTTTGAAGGAGTTTGAAAGAAATAATTCTGACAAATGTTTCAATTCTGGTTTTAGTAGGGTTGCTATGAGACTCACTATCTTACCTATGGGTAGTAGTCAATAAACTGCATTTTTCTGCCTGTGTGTATGTGCATGTATGTGCTCACATGAAGCATTTCTATAATATAGTGTAACTGATCTTCTGTAGTATAAATTGCTGAGTGATATTGCTGGGTCAGCAGGTATGTGCGTTTTTCTTTTTGATAGATTTTGTCAATTTGCTCTGCAAAAGGGTTATACCAAGTTACATTCCAACCAATTGTATCTGAAATACAATATTATTTCATACCTTACCAAATTTGGATGTAAAAATGTAAAAAAAAAATAGCCGCACTTTTAAAATTTTGAGATTCTTATTGAAAGAAACGTAGTTTTGTACCAATGAACTGAAGAAGTATAGACGATACTTAAGGTTTCTTAAACTTTTATATACATTGTTAATTATTATAAAACCAAAAAGAAAAACTGTAAAGAAAAATGTCTGCTGTAAATGAACATGCCATAAACATGTGAAGATTCTGAACACAGAAATGTCTGTGTTACTCTTCTATTCAGTGAATCTGTTCCTGTTGTCACTGATGCAGCAAGGTTGGGTAGTAATGAAGTGTCATTGCTACACCCTAAATCAGAAATAGGCTCTAGGGGTTGAGAAGCAGGCCCTCACGGTGTGTGATAATCAGTTCTTTTACCCGTCATTTCCATCTTGAATAGTTTTACAGTATTGCATAAGATGATTTCTATTTTCAGTTAGACTATTTATTTTATATATCAGGGCAAAATTTTACTTAAATTATTTACATTTATTTAAGCCTTCTTTTCTCTGTCTCTCTCCCACCTTTTGCATTTTAAAACATCTTCATTTATATACCGTACAACTCACCCATTTAAAATGTGCAATTCCATGACTTTTAGGATATTCACAGAGATATACTTCCATTGCCTCAATCAATTTTAGAACCTTTTCATTAGTCCAAAGAGAAATTCTGTACCCTTACCTGCCCACCCCCCACCTGCCTACCCTTCCAATTCTCCCATCCTCCCCAGCCGTCTCCTCCCTGCTTTTAAACATCTCTTCCAGGATCTTTTTTTCTGTTTCTCTAATAAATCTCATGAGTTTTCCCTAATGAGTTCTTCATCCCTCTAATGAGGGGCTTCCTCTGGGTATATGCATATCTGTGCACACATGGAGTATTTCTATAATATAGTATAATTGACCCTCCTCATCTTTAAGAAATTCAGCCAAACTCAGTGCAGTGGATCCAGTACTGAGGAGCACACGCAGAACACTAGCTACTTTTTCTCAGTGACCTAGTGGTAGAGAACATTTGCATAAGTACCTGTGTTAATTAGGAAGAAGCAAATGCTTCTAGAGTGAAGGATAGAGACATTCTGAAATACATGAGCAAGGTAACTAACAGCTGCTGAGCACCCATCAATTACTATCCCTAATATTGGCATAGCACTCCCACAGTTTTCAAAGCACTTTCCAGGCTTTATTTCATGTGATGTAAAGGACATTGCATTAGAACCTCTAATATGGAGGGATATGGACATCGTTAGAAATGGGACAAATCAGCGTCCAGTATAGTCTCTCTGAAAATGTAGATCACTATCATGGCTCTTTAGGCCAATTTCAATCTTTGCATTCTCAAAGACTTTTACATGCATATGAAATGGTTTAGTTTTTTAGCAAGTCTGCAACTATTCAGCAATTACGAGACATAATCTCCTATAAGACATACTACTCCTGGTGCAGCAGGGTGACTAACTTTTTGAAGGAGGTCTAGCCAATAACAGCTTTGAAATGGTCACTAGTATTGTGGGAAATTAAGTTTGAGAAACTGTAAAATACATCATTCATTTCTGCACCTAGGGAAGACTGGCTAGTAACCATAGTTGTTTGTTTCTGGCAAGTTCGGCACACAGGTTTTGGTAAATTAAAATACTGGTTGTGCAGGATATGGGGTTTATGAAGTAATATAAAATAGTGGATTATCTCTGGTCTAGAGTGAATGTAAACGGCGGAGAGAATGATGAGGAGGCGTTGATGAAGGGAGGAGCATTGGCCCAGAGGCCAAGATTCTGCTCTCAACTTTTCAGGCTTTTCAGCAAATTCCTTAATTCTTTTAGATCTCAGGTTCCTGAGATTCAAATAATCTCCAGGGGCCCCTGAGATTCAGTGATTTACAGGTACCTTTTAGACTTAAAACTCTGGACCAAAACTCCAAACATAGATTTGAGACCATATACATTTAGAAACATATCCCATCAATCCTATATCTGCCTATTTAATACACAGTTATAATTTTGTTTTGCCAACTTGATCTGGACGGAATTCTATGATGATTATCGTTTTTATTATGCAAACAATGGTCACTTTGGAATGACCTAAATTTCATGCAGGGCTTCCCCTTCTAATAAATTAGATGGCAGTATAGGTGAGGCAAATTTAATTACAAAAAAAGGAGGGAAAGACTTTTATGGCCAATGTTAACTTGGCAAATTAGAAAGGGCTCAGTCTTCACCAAGAGTTTTCATGTCAACATCTTCAGAAAGATGAGAGGAAACTACAAATATCAGATATATTTTATATCAAAATAGTGTCATTTTGTATAGTGGCTTTCAGACTTTTTTTTACTGTGACCAACTGTACTTAGACTGAAATTCAGAATTCTCTCTCTCTCACACACATACCCACATACAAATACAACAAAAGTTTCCTGACACAATACTAAGCCTTCTTACCTGTTATGCATTCTGCAATAATTCTATTTTACTCAACTATGCTGCTTATAACCTATAAAGTTGACTTTATGCCTATAGTTTGAAAAAAAGTTATCTAATAAACATATCAGGAAATATCAATCTTCTCACCACAAAATCATATGTAAATAAACATAAACAATTTTTATTAGTCAATTATACCTTAATAAAGCTGATAGGGAGAGAAGAAAATTGAATGAGAAGAGAATTAAATA